GGAACGGCATCCTGCGACACCTCATACACGTGATGGGAGAAGAATTGAATAGATTAAATATTCCTCTGAATTTCACTCGTCTTTTACATGAAGCCTTGTTTGCCAGCAACGCATTTACCTTCTACAATGAAGTGTCTCCGTACAATGCGCTGTATGGCAGACAACCAGCTATGCTTCCCGATTTCCCTGTCTTGGATCATGATCAGTCCGCTGAATCATCAGATCACTCAAGGGAGGAAACAATCAGGAGGGTTAGTCTGGAGGCAATCACGCAGGCCACTGCGGTTGCCAAGACGAACAGGGCTCTCCGTACGAAGACTACTGCTACGGGTGAATTTCACTACAAAGAGGGAGATCTCGTGGACTATCATCGCCCGACCACCACGAAAGACGACTGGGGTGGATGGAGTGGTCCATACCCGGTCATCCGCAACGAACCTGACCGAGGCCAGGTCATCGTGAAGGTCGGTAGTCGCGAGGTGCGAGTACAGTATCCTGACACACGACACACGCTGTACATCGAAGCACTTATGGTCCGCGAGATAGGATCGGACAATACGGCCCTTCGGACAGTATTGGCCTTTATTGCCGGTCTGCCAGCGGGGAAACCCGCCATGACTTTCGGATATCTACCAGCGAAACAGGGTCGGCTGCAGATGACTGCTGCGAGCCGACTTTCGCCTAAGGTGCACTTGGCTCTTCAGTACCTCATACGCAACTACTTTCGTATTGAAAACGTTGTTGCTGTACGACTTGCCAAGAGCCTGACGAAGTTGCCTGCTGCACCCTATGCAGACAGCTGTACACTAGTGCACTATGATAATGATGTGACCCCTGGTTTTCATTACTATGAAGCTGATGGCACTGCCTTGAACATCTACGACATCACAGGATCTACACACTCACGCATCATCCAGTGTCTTAAATCCAGGAAGCCGCCTGCTGGATTTGACCGAGACCTCACTAAGTTTGAGGAACTCGCTGATGGTCCACCACCAAGCGAGTCACCTCCAGCAGCTGCTCCTGAGCAGCCTCCTGCGGAGAACGATGGTCGGCTCCCGACCATCATAGAGGAAACAGAAGAAGATCTGGATGCCTTTGTCTTGAAGTCGTGGTATGCTGAACTGATGGATGACAGAACACTCCTTGAAGCTGACACAGAGGAAGTCATGCATACAGTTCCCACATACATGACAGACACACAGTGTGTGTTAGTCTCTACGACCTGTGAAGATGTGCAAGGCCACTTGCCGGAGCGGGGTCACCCGCCAGGATACGACATGGACACTTCTTACTACGTTCCTTTATGCTCCACGGATCCGGACAGCAAATATGATCTGGACTCCGATGAGCACGGGAAGTACATCGAGCTCTGCTTCACAGCAGACATGTCCAAAGTCGTCCTGTCCGAGCAGCAACGCCGATTGTTGGATGACAGCAGCGTCGCAACTATGCGAGTATACGTTAGTGCTGCCTCCAAACGTGCCGTGGTCGTCAAGGAAGACGATCTACTCACGAAGGCCGACATCCAAGCAAATCCGGTCAAAGTTTCCAAAGCCCTTTACACAGAATTGAAGACTTGGCTTGACAATAAATGCTTTCAGATGACTGACTTGAGCAAAGCGTCTAACATCATGACTTCACGCTACGTATACAAATGGAAGTTTGTCAAGAACGAAAAGGGCGAAATGGAAAGGACGATCAGGTTACGCTTGGTACTCCGTGGCTTCATGGACCTTGAAGCCTTTGATGTCGAAACCTTCTCTGGCACGGCAAGGAGGTCAAGCCAGAGACTGCTCGCAAGTTCTGCTGCATGCAACAAAGCTTGGATCATCGCTTCCCTGGACATCAACATGGCTTTCTTGAAGGGACTGACCTATAGCGAGCTCGCCGCGGCAACGGGCGAGAAAGAGCGTGTGGTGTGCTTCACACTACCTCCTGGGTCAGCAGCTGTCCTTCGCACACTGCCAGGCTTTGAGTCATATGACGAATCAAAGCATTGTCTTCGGTGTCTGAAGCCGGGGACGGGCACGAAGGATGCTCCCAGGGCATTCTCGTTGAAGCTCAGGTCCATCACTAGGAGCTTTGGGCTACAGCCTACTTCATACGACGAAGAGTTCGAGATGAGCCCAAACCTCTTGACAGCCAAGCACGTTGATGACATCAATATGACTGGGAAGGAAGAGGCTATTGACAAGTATGTCAAGTGTGTTGAAGATACGTTTGGGAAGTGCAAACTGAACAAGCACACATACACAAACTGTGCCGTTCGGTATAACAAGACCGATGATGGGAGCGTCACTCTTGATCAGGACGAATACATCAAACAGCTTCGTCCTATCACACATCCAGAACTCACAGGAGCTGATCCTGAGAGCAAAGCGACAAAGACGATTTCTGATATGTTCGTCAGTCTTCGTGGCGCTCTAGCCTATGCGTTGATCACGCAGGTATGGCTGATGGTCTATGTTGTCTCACTACAACGTATCCAGGAACCGACAAACATCCAGGTACGACGACTAAACGCGGTTACCAGAAACTACAGGCAGGTCCGAAGAAGATCGTGTATCAAGCTATGACCCCAACAGGAGAAGTCGACCTGCATAGCGATTCTGGCTATCGCCGTCTCAATGGAGATGAAGACGACGAAGTCAAAGGCTATGGTATCCGCGGGGCTAACCTGCTGAGGCGTGGCCACACGCAAGCGGGGAAACCCGTCGTGCACCTGGTGGACGCATACTGCAAGTCTCATCGACTGCAGGTGCGTTCGAGCTACTCTGCGGAAACACTGGCAGCAGCCCACAACTTGGAAGACTGCTACCCGACCATTGTAACGCTCCACGAGCTACACTCGGGACCATTGACCCCCACACAGTTAAAGAACATATTGGAAATGGGTGGTCTATGTATCAAAGTCACTCTGACTATTGATGCCGAGTCTGTCTTCAAGTCTTTGTCTAGCAAAGATCTGAAGAAGCCCACAGAATGTACTCTGCTTGGGCACATTAGCTGGATCCGCCAGATGATGGAGCGCGGAATCGTTGAAAGCGTTCAATGGTGTGACACGCGGGATATGACTGCCGATGGTCATACCAAAGGTAGTATTGACCGCGCGTTGCTCCTACAAGTAATGGCCGGCCAGCAATCCTTCAAGCACGAGCTGAAGAAACATACACCGTATAGGGCGGGCAGGTCGTCTCAGGACGGCCCTGCCTCCCGAGCTAGCGGGGAAACCCGCATGCAGGTGCGCTCTAGTAGCGAGGAAACTCGCCGGTAGCGAGGCTACTCGCGCGCCCTTGCCTTGTAGGCAGCCGCTGCTGCTTAACACTGTTTTTCCGCGTAATGTAGAAGTGCGGTGCCTGCTCGTCTCCTCCCCCTCCGACTTTAAACGGAGAAGGTTAAAGGCGAGGTATAAATCGAGCATGTACCGCTGCCGTGCCTGGCTCAAGCCGGGCCCGGCCAAATATGTGATTGCGCCTCACCGAGGCGCGCGATTCGTATCTGAGATCGGAAAATACCTTTTCCATTGACGATGCCCATCCTATCCTTTACTCCAGATCCCATGCTTCGTCTTGCTCTCCTGCTCATGCAATATGAGCCAAAGCCTGGGATATGGTAACGCCTAAGGCGTAATATATACCTAAGCTTACCAGTGCGTTTTCGACTGACAGTAGTGGGGACGGTAGTGGTGGGGACAGTGGTGGGGACAATGGTGGGAACAGGGGGGGGCAGTGGACAGTGGTGGTGACGGTGGTGGTGGGGACAGTGGTGTGGGGACAATGGGAATGAGGTGGAAACAGTGGGACAGTGGAGGGTACAATGGTGGTGGGGACAGTGGTGAAGGCGGTGGCGAGGACGGCGGTGGGACAATGGGACAGAGGTACAGTAGGGACAGTGGTGGGGACAGTGGGGACAGTGGTGGGAACAGTGGGGCAGCTCAGTGGGACAGCGGAGGAGTCAGTGGGAGATAGCGGGGACAGTGGGGATAGTGGGGCAGTGGTTGGGGCCGTAGAGACAGTGGGGAGAGTGGGACCGTGGTGGGAACAGTTCTGGGGACAGCGGGGACAGTGCGACAGTGGTGGGGGCACTGGTGTGGACAGTAGGGGCGGTGGTGGAACCAGTGGGGACTGGTGGTGAGGACAGTGGTGCTGGGAACACCAGTGGGGGATGTGATGCGGACGGTGGTGGGGACCGGGAGTCGTTTGCTGGCGGTGAGGGGGGGGGTGGGGGGGGGGGGGTCCAACCGGTAGTGACCCCCCCGGTTTTCCGGGGGGGAGGGGGGGGGGTTCGAACCGGCAGTGACCCCCCCGGCTTTCGAGGGGGAGGGGGGGGGGGGGGGAAGGGGTTAGGGGAGGGGGGGGTTTTTGCCGGGAGGAGGGGGGGGAGGGGGGGGGAGGGGGGGTCCAGCAGGGGGTGGGTGGGGGATTTTCGGAGGGGTGGGGGGACCCCCGGGTTCCGGAGGAAAAGGTTTGGCAATTTTCCACAGTAAATCGGCGGTGGATCACGCTCTCGCTCTCTCTCTCTCTCTCTCTCTCTCTCTCTCTCTCTCTCTCTCTCTCTCTCTCTCTCTCTCTCTCTCTCTCTCTCTCTCTCTCTCTCTCTCTCTCTCTCTCTCTCTTTCTCTCTCTCTCTCTCTCTCTCTCTCTCTCTCTCTCTCTCTCTCTCTCTCTCTCTCTCATGTGTATATATATATATACATAAACATATATGCAAATACATATAATATGCTTTAAACAGATATTGCAAGTACTGAAATGTGATCTTGATAACTTAAGTAGCGGAGCTGGGGTCCACGGACCTTGCCCGACAGGGCTGGTGAAATCCTTTTCCACCTCAGCATGAACTGAGCCAAAACTGGCTCTCCACAGTACACAAATGTCACAACAGCGCATGCACAACAATCCTCACTCAAATCACTGATATATACCTTGTTTCCTGCACTCCTCCTCGGGCCCATCTGCAGCTTCATGCCAAGATCGGGCACGCATTCTGGAAACGTATCAGTATCGAATCATAGCCAGCGAGTCAGGGTGCCAAATCCCGACAAACCCATCAACACTGTAGATATTGTCCTGCCTTATCTCGTTGAGGGCGGTTGCCACGCAGGCTTCGACCACCATCGCCTTTGTATATGTCGAGACGGCCCGATCCACTCGCCGTAGCCGTAGAAACTCCCGTCCATTGTCTATAGTCATAGCTGTGAACATAGCCCGAAGATCATTGGCCACGATCTTGCTCGTAGCTCCATTCTTCATCGTGTCCTTCAGGCTGTACTGAGTTGAGGCATCTTTCTGTGCTGGCTGCGTGATACGGTCAATGTGCTGCTTGACTTTGAAGACTGCACTCGTTGCGATAACACTCAAAAGGGTGAGCATCATCATCACGACCGTTGTGGAAACGCCAAAATGGCTCTCATCATCTGCAGGGCTTGAGATCGCGACTGGCTGAAACTCCTTCTCCACCAACTCAGTAGCGTCCGCACGTCCAAATTGAAGAAACGTACTAAGACCCACCAAGCATTGAGTAAGTGCGCCCATCAGCTCCAGCGCAGGCTTACCGATCTGGCCCTTCTTCTCGTTGCTTGAACCCGAAATTCCACCAACCTCACCTTTCCCAGTGCGCCAAACCTTCATCGCCGTTAGGTGCTTCATGAAATCGACCCTCGAAAGATGTTTCGTCCCAAGATCTGCGGTGTTCTCGTCGGTGTGAACTTTGCTCGTGCTGACCTTCGTCTCAGCCTTGCGCGCGACTAGGTCCTTGATCCACAGATCCTTCAACTCGATGCGCCTCATCCTGCCAACTCCCTTTTTCTCGACGTTCGTGAGAGCGCTGGAGTTGTCACTCTCCAGCGTCACTGGTACAGTTTCGTCCAGGAGCTCCTTGAGATAAGTATGTGCTCCTCTCGCCTCAATCCCGACATGCACGAGTGCGTTAAACTCAGCTTCGGGCGACGAGAGTGCTGGTGCCCCCTGAGTCTCGACGAACTGCATGATCAAAGCTCCATTGAGAAACAACTGACCACAACTTGTAGACTTCCTCCCGATAGGATCCTCTGCCCAATTAGAGTCTGCACGTCCGATAACCTTGAACTCGCCGCTGTCTGGATACATGCGCGTGACTGACGATGGGTGAGCTCGAATGAACCTGATGATGCGCGTGAGCCTCGTTTGGTCCTGCGCCGTCGGTCGTGACATCCCCCTCGAACACTCCTTCGCTGCGTACTGACACTCGGGCCTCTCCAAGCACGCGAACATGTTGAGGCCGTTGGCGCTCCTGAACTTTGTGGCCGCTTTGGAATCCAACTCCTCCTCGCTCTCGACCTTCTTCTCGTTCTTGACTCCTGGTATTGGGCTCGTCTTCTTATCATTGGGCTCAGAGTCGAGTAGCTTCTTGACAATAGCAGGCCACATGCGAACTTGAATACCTTCGGGGGTGCGGAGCCAGCCACGTCCAAGGTGCTTGATCTCAGGACCACCAACTGTGAGCTCAGAAACCTTAAGTAGAAAATGTGCGCCGAGCTCCTCCAACGCGTTGCTGGCTGAAACCCTGGGTCCCACCAGCGTACCATCGTCAACATGCTTGGACATAGCAACTTGATTAGCCTTGTCTGCAAACGTACACGGGTCAGAAAGAAACCTCTTGAAAGTCATCTTAGATTCATCACTCCGTCCTGTAGCGATGTTCTCAAAGTGGTCGTCGAAATCGACCATCGCCTCGTTAAGTCCGTAGACGGTCTTATTGAGCTTGAAAACCCAATCCGAACTATCGGGAAGATGGCAGTACTCCTTCGGGACCTCTGCGTAAACCAACTCCCGAATCGGCGTGTACAGAAACGCTCGAGATATGTCGAAAAAGAAGATGGCGAAATCCTTAACGATAGCGTAGACCATGAGCAGCTTGAGTGAGAACGAAAGTGGAGTAGGGCAGTACAGCTCATTCTTGCTCTTGTTGACCTGCTTGCCGAATGGTCGCGCACAAAGCCTCGCCTTGAGCTCACCACTCCTCATCTCCAAAACCCAAGCCCACGTAAGTGCCTTAGGCCCGTGAGGGTCCCTCAGCTTGAGCTCCCACACGTCGTAGTTGTCGAACCGATCCAGCTCGCACTGCTTCGCCTCCCACTCGTCGTCCTCGGTCCAGCCCATCACGATGCTGAACTCGCTGTCATCCTTCAGCTCCTTGTCGACCTCGCCCACGAGCCTCATCATCTCATCCGTGCTGAAGCCCGCCACGAGCCTCTTGAGGTCGCCAGTACTCAAGCTCTCGATGGCTCCCACCAGGCCTCGATTCCCAGGTGGGCCTCCAGGGCCGCCTTCACCGAGGTCAGCATCAGCAGCTCCTCGCTTAGCGGGTGCCCCTGGAGCTGGTACTCCCTGCTTGCCACGAAGCCTCCTCTCGATCTTCTGCACCTCCCGACGTACTGCTTCAATTGGATCTTGACCTTGTGCTGGCTCTGGCCCTGCTGGTCGCTGTGCTTGCTGCTCGCCGTTGTTAGCCTCCGAGCTGGCCGTAGGTACGGGAACCACGACCACCTTCGGCTGCTCGTCGTCCTTGCTGGCGATTGACTTCTCGTACTCGGCCCGACGCTGCTGGCATGTCCTGCTGTGGTGTGGTGGCCGTCCTCGTCCGTGCTGACCTTTAGCTGCATACTCACACCCAGGGCATCCTTCCGTCGGCTGCCAATTCTCGCCCTCGTAGACTCCAGCTCTAACCGAGGTCCTCCAAGGCGTCCAACGCATGGCTTTGAGCATCTCCATGTCGAAGCTCTCCTCCGTCGTCAGCTGCTTCACTGTCCTGGCCTGAACTACCCCCGTCGCCGTGCCGATAAGATGAGCATCACTCTTCGAACTGCGTCCGAGCCACAGTCCCTTGCACCAGGCTGTACCCAGCTTGTCCTGCAGCTCCGTGTGCTCCTTGCCGATCACTGTCTCTCCGAACTCCAGCATGGGTGAAGTGTACGGTGCCAACCTGAGCTCCTCGAAAGATGTGCGACCGCTGCTCCTCCTCCGCTGGTACCTGTTGTGGCAGAATATCTGATGCCGAATCATCCAAGGTATGATAGGTACATCCTCAGTGAACTTCATGTTGTAACGCTTCTCCAGAGCCAAACGCCCAGTCCTCGCAAGACCTGCAACCGACTTGACTCCACTCTCAACTCCACCTTGAGAAGCGTGGCTTCCTTTTGGAACTAGCCGTACTCGAAGTTGAGCTTCAGCTGCCTCTTTGCCGAGCTTCTTGATACGCTCCGAAATCACTCCATTCATGAGTGCCTCCAGTGCTGGTTCTCCGTCTAACTGAACTTCCATACTCATGTAGCCAAGCTCGTCCAGGTACTCGCTGATGGCCGCTATAGCGTAGCTCTGATTGCCTTTAGCTTCCACGACAACTCCCATGAGGTAGCCTGTCCTTCTGTCCTTGCCGACTGCCAGGGTAAGACGCCGACCTGATCCATCTTCACCGAGACTGAGAAACCCATAGTCGAATGATACAACTGGAGTAGCCGATGCGTTTGGATCTCTCGCGCGATGAGGGTCTTCTTGCCCTCGTCCCATCATGCACTCCTGACACCAAGCTTCGAAAGGAATGTGACCTCTCCGAATGTGCGCTCTGACATGTTCTCCTGACATCCGAGCTGGTCTCTTGAGCCCGGGTGCGACGGGCGTCCCCGTCTGATCTGAAACTCCTTCTGCGACACCACGTGGGCCATCACGTGAACTAGCCGCTCCACTGTCAGCCTGCACCTCCACAGGCTGTGTCTCGACAGGCTCCTCCTTCATCTGCTCGTCGTCCTTCTCAGAGTGGTCCTCGACATCGCCGATGATGGACTCGTAGCCTGTCGGATCCTTGAACCTCATGGGAAGAAGAAACGCATTCACCTTCCGTCGTAACTGCAAAGTCACTGTCGACTCGATCGCTTTATCTATCTCGTGCTGCACATTCTTGTTGCTTTTGAACATCTTGGCTCCGTCAGGATCAAAGTGTACCGAATAACCTGCATCATTCATCTCTGCAACTGAAAGGGCACCTCTACGAACTTCAGCTGGCGTGACGTCTAGCTTTGCAGGGATCGATGTGTTCGAATCGAAGACCTCACCCGTCAACGTCCGCTTATCCCAAGCCCGAATACCCTTACCAGTAATGGATCGCAGAGACTGACCTGGCTCGCCTGTGAGCTTGCACTTCTCCGTCATAGCCTTTGGTACAACATGAGTGTGAGCTCCACTATCCACGAGCATCTCGCATTCGTCCCCGTCAGTGTCGTCCGTAAACGCAAAAATCCAACCCCCTTCATCATCTGGTAGTACCGCTGCCTGTACGCGTCCAGCTCCACATACTCGTGTCTGCGACGCTGAATCTCCTGGATGGACCGTACTTGCTGAGCCCGATCCTGGAGCTGGTTGAAGTCCTGGCTGAACCTCAGAAACGGATCGCTGACCTCCTCCAGGCTGGTAAGCGCCGCCGCCGTACTTCCTGCAATCCGCGATCTTGTGCCCGTACTTGCCGCAGTGGGGATTCGAACACCATCCGTCGAAGAGCTTCGTCTCGCCCTTCTTGCTCTTCATCTTGTTCTTGCCGTCGCCCTTGCCACCTTTGCCGCCCGAACTCTGCCAAGCACTCCTTTGACTGCTCGACTTGCCACCGCTGCCCTTCTGGTCTGACTTGCCGCCGAAGCCCTTGCCCTTGGAATCGCCCTTGCCGCCCTTGTCGAAAGCGTCCACGTCCATGGCGTTCGGGTCGAACTTCTTCTTGGTCACCCTCGGGTCGCGCTGCATCATCTGCTGAGCGAAGGCCTCGCAAGTCTCCCGTAGGATCTGGTGGTTCGTGAAGGTCTGCATCATCACTTGAGTCTTCAGCGGCTCGGGCGTGTTCTTCTTGATCAAGGCTTGGACAAGGGTGTCTGAGATCACCTCTGAAAACTTCTCTTGATATCGATTGATGTCCAGTAGAAACTTCGTGAGCTCCTCGACGTAGGTCTCCCACTTGCCTGAAAACTCTGTGTTCACAAGAAGCTGCAGCTGCGTCACCTTGTTGGAGCCAGTAGCCGCATCCTCACGTAGACAAAGACGTCGCCATTGCTCCAGACCGTTATCTGGCTCACAATTCATCACCAAGGTTAACGCGCTGCCTCCAAGCAGCTGTGACAGAATGTATCCCATCGTCGCTGCAAGCTGCTTGTTATCGTCACCCATCTCTGAAAGCGTAATGACATTGCCGTGGGTAGCTGCTGTCGTGACTGCTTGTGCCAATCTCGGGTCGATGGCACCCAAGTAGCTGATCAGCTGGTATCTGAAGGTCGGGAACTCGTCACGGTTGCCTGAGTACTTATTTGGTCGTCCCAGCAGGCGCGTGTCCACAAGACCAGCCATCATGAGAATAACAGAAACCAATCGCGCTACCATGCAAGTACTGAAATGTTATCTTGGTAACTTAAGTAGCGGAGCTGGGGTCCACGGACTTTGCCCGACAGGGCTGGTGAATTTTTTTCCACCTCAGCATGAACTGAGCCAAAACTGGCTCTCCACAGTACACAAATGTCACAACAGCGCATGCACAACAATCCTCACTCAAATCACTGATACATACCTTGTTTCCTGCAGATCTATATATATATATATATATATATATATATATATATACATATACATATACATATAAGCATCCCCACCAGCCCGTCCAGAAACGACGCCCAGGCGAGTAGAGGGTCGTCCTGAGGGGCTTTTCGGCGTCTTGGGTGCCTCGGGGGGGCCTCTGTGGGCCGTTCGGGATCCTCTTTGGGGCCTCCTGGGGGCCTCTTGGGGCCTCTTGGGGCCATCTTGGGGCCTTTGGGGGCCTCCTGGGCGCTTCTTGGGGCCTCCTGGGCGCTTCTTGGGTGCCTCTGGGGGGTCTCTTGGGGCCTCTTGGGGGTCTCTTGGGGGCCTCCTGGGGGCCTCTTGGGGGGCCTCGGAGCCATCTTGGAGGAGATCGATCAACGAAGGGGGGTTCCCTAATTACAGTCCCCCCCTCAGGAGCCACGATCCTCGTGAGGGGTGTCGAATTTTAGCCCTCCCAGGGGTCGATCTTGGGCGCTCCAACGCGCCGCGGAACCCCCTGTCCAGGTCAGTGGGGAGGGGGTAGGGGGAGGGGTAAACCCCTCCCCGAAGGGGAAGAGGGAGGGGTGGAAGAGGAAACGCTCTAAACCACCGACGCCGAGAGGGCTGGTGGGATTAATTATGGTGTCGTAGATCTCGGTGTCGGCCATCGGTATGTATTCGGCTTCGATGACGGCCGAACCTCCGACACCATTGCCGTGGTCAGGGTGCCGCGGAGTTTCTTCATGGTGAGGGTTGCGTCATGGTCGATCGATATGGCATATATCGCGATGTCTGCTGAAGTGAGGGAAGCCGCACATACGCTAGCCCTTGCGGTTATCGATGATCTCACGCTTGCGCTGGCGCATCTCCTCTCGGTCCGTACCTCAGCGATGCGACGTCTTGATGATATGGCCGAACTCGTCGCGAATATTATATTGAAGAGACCACCAGTGGCGAAGGTCTCGCTCACTTTAGCCTCTGTTCAACCAGTATTCCATGTCTTCATCTGTAATCTCCATGCGTGGGCCCTGCTCGTCCCGAGAAAAGGAGGAGCACCCCTTTCCCGAGCCGCTGTAGCCCTTACCAGACGAGGGGCCTGCAGTACATGACTGACTGCGGCCTCGGCTGACGCCGCCCGTGTCCGGGCCTGATCCCACAGGAGGGCCCACTCCCGAGCTGCGGCCGCGGCGATTGCTACCTTTACTGCCCTTGTCGGGGCCACCTGAACCAATGGGAGCCTGGCCAGAGCGGCCCCATATCATGAAGACATTAGTATCCGTTCGGCCCCAATCTACCGCGGCCTGCTCATCCTCGGTGAGCCCGAAAACCGTCGGCGTTGGGAGCTGTGAGAGACCTCACTGCCCGTGTCCGAGCTGGAATTCCTGCAGCTCGGCCTCGGAGGCAGGTATGGTCTCTGGTTCTGACATGTAGTCGTCCTCGTCGCCCTCGTCATCAGAATCGGTGTGCACGTGTCCGTACCAAGGCAAGCCGGTCCAGTCCTCGAACGGCGCGCCGTAGAGCTCCCCGACGCCGTCGCACAAGAATTCGGTGTAACGCTCGACCGCCATGGCAGCTTCAGCGTATTGAGCAATCAAGAACCAGGTGGTTCCGGATTGCACTTGGGAGGGGTGATCGAGATCGGGGAAATCAATGTATTCCAGCACGTCTTCCACGTGCTGCTCTGAGCCAAGAAGTACGGATCTATCCCCTTTCCCCCTTCCCTTGGGACACTGTGCCAGAAAATGTGCGTCGCTCCCGCATGAGTTGAATGTCATACGTTGGCCGTTTTTGTCCATGGGGTTTGACTTACGTCCTTTGCCTTTGCCTGTGGTGTTCCTACGACCTTTACCTTTGCCCTTACCACCAAAGAACAGTTCCTCAAAATCGTGATCGGCTAGTATGGCTAGGAACGTGGCCATCCCTTTTTCCATGCAAGCTACGGGTGCGCCTACCTCCCTTACCTTTGCGAACGAAGACGCGACGCACTGCTCGCCTAAATCTCCAAACTGGCTTTTTCAAATGTCGTCTCCACCTTCTCTTAGCATGATGATAGTCTAAGTACAGGCACTGTGCTGCTTGGTCGTCGTCGACAGGCAGATCTGACCAGTCAATATGGTCTACACCAGTTGATGAGCAGGTGTCGGTGTCTGTGCTGGGGTCAAAGAGGTCGTCCCCTTGTTGGTTGGACGAACCCCAAAGGGTGGTCGCTTCGGGTGGTATGTAGCTGGCAGCTGATGGCCAGCCAGTGTTACGGCCAGAGGCCTGTACGTTGCTGGCCTCTTCGCCTAAGAGTGTTATGGATTCGGTGGGCCCCCCATCATTCCAGATGTTACCCGACGTGGCCGCCGGTGCGTGGCTCACTTCGGCATGAGAAGTGCCGGCATTGCGGCCATTGAATATGTTCCCGATGTTAACAGGGGCACGCTCAGCTAGGTGTCCATAGCTGCGCATGCGTTCCAACAGTTGGTCGTATTGTTGTTGAGTACGGGGCATTTGGTGGTTGAGTGGTTGTAGTAGTTGCGATGGTCGGGAGGTACCTACTCCCAGAGCACGGAACAGTATAAGCGTCAGGATATGGAAGTCGGGCACGTTGAAGCCAGCCGAATCCGCTTCCGGCCTGGCCATGTCAAATCGGGCCAGTACTGAATCGATGCGTTCGCTGTTTCAACCCTGAAGACGACGAGGGTTGTTCCCGAGGTGAGCTGTTGCTCATCCTCGAGGTTTTCAAATTTGGTGCTTAGAAGGTGCATGATATAAGTGACTCCATCTGTGCGTCTACCCTGTAGGGTTAGCACGACGTTCGTCATACTAGCCTCCCTTCGACATCCTTCAGACAAGCACAGGGGAGGGAGGGAGGGAGGGAGGAGGGCACTGAGTTCCTGGCGTTCCAATTCTTTCGGGCCTGGCGTTTTCCCCCAGCTTCTTCGGGCCCTGGGGCCCCTCACAGACCCATCCGGCTCGGGAGATGGCGCAGAAAGACGGGGTCTGGGGCTCCAATCCTGACTTTCCACGGTGCCTCATTTTTTTTCGAGCTGTCGGATCTCTAGGGAGGCGAGAGTGGGCGGCAACCTAGGGGGGGGGAAGTGAGAAGCGGCGGGCCTTCTGCGACGGCTTGAAAGTCGCCGATTTCTGAGGAGACCTTCTCCTTCTCACTGCCCCCCTCGCTCGTCGCCGAAACGGCGGGGGGCTCACGTCCCCCGGCCGCGCGCCCGTCGCATCTCCGCCGTCGGTGCTCGTCCTGCTCTCTCCTCCTCCCCTCCCCCCATCCCTTGCTGCCGCTTTTTTTGGGGCGTGTCCTGTCGCCGGTTCCTGCGTAAGTGGGCTGTCGCCCCCCACCTGGGTGCTTAAAGGCACCTTCTCTGGTGAAGTGGGCTGTCGCCCCCCTTTTTGGTGGGCGGACCTCCGGCCGATATTCTTGGAACTGGTGGAGACCAGATTGAGGCGGGCCTGGTGCCAGGGCCGCGGATTCGAGGCGAGAGGAGGGAGGAGGGAGGGAGGCGAGAGGAGGGAGGAGACAGGAGGGAGGAGACAGGAGGGAGGAGATGTATGGCAAGCTGCGGTTCCCAGAGGCGCATCCTGGAATATATCAAGCGAGCTTCTCCGGGTACTCCCAGGGAGGCGGCACTTCATGTGGTGCTCTTGCTTGCGGGTTTCTTGCATTGTATTGGTGTGCGTGCCTTTGCTGCCTGCTACACTTGAATCTAATAGAAGTGAATGCTGTACCTCGTTGTCCTCCATGTCCCTCCTGGCTCCATTGCTCCTCCCTACTATGTCCCTGCCCCGTTTTGTTGTGGCCGCCCGTCTCCATGACGGCGTCGTTGTCCTACAAGTTCTACCGCGTAGCATGCCGGCCGATAGCCCACACGAATGCGCGAACCATGTTTTGTCTCTGCGCCCGTATGTTGGCCGAAGTATTCCATGTCATTTAGGCCCCTCCTACCCGTTCCCAATCCCTCATTTTCCCTTTCTCTCTCTCTCTCTCTCGTTGTCGTCTTGGATGCCCCCAGAGCGCGAACCTAATATGGCTGCGCTTCTGGTCCGCACTGTTCCACGAATTATTCCCTAAGCTCACCGCTAGCTTCTTTTTGCACTGATCTGAGCTTTTGTGGCATTTCGCTGCTGGCCGCCCCCCACGCCCCCGGCAGCGGAGCAGGGGATGCCCACCAGGTTCGGTGCCGCTCCCAAATTCTTTCAAGGCCTCTCGCTCAAGATCTCTGCGTCGAGCCCTCTCGCCGGAGATCTCCAGGTCGAGCTTCGCTGCTTCTTTTCTGAACTCCCTGCCGCAGTGGCCGAGACACTCCCGCATCCGCAGTAGCGAGTTCGCGCATGCATGCATTTTTCCCTTCTGCTTGCGAACTGTTGTCTCGGGCTCCGCGCCCCCCCTCTCCAGACTTCCCCCCTCCCCGTCACTCCCCTACGTACAGGGGCCCCAACAAGCGCACACACACACACACGCACACACACACACACACACACACGTTTTCACGTTTTCATCCAGCGACGAGGTGACGACACCGTCGCGATGCGCTAAGCCGTAGCAGATGGGTGGGCTGGATTGGGGCAAACGCTTTCAGAAAAACGCGAGAACGCGCATGTACGTGGAAGTGTCGTTGCGGCCATTCAAGTTCAGGAGCTGGCCGAGCACAACCGGGCGGACTGAGGCACAAAGGCAAGAGGAGGCGAGGTGCGACCAAAGCGTGACGTTTGGACGCCCACAGCGGCAGACGGTACAAACGGTGCCGAT